ACATATAAAAAATTATTAGCTAATTTATTGCATGATATATGCATGTACACACTTTGTCGCGACTGTATCCATCTTCGTCGTCTTAAATCGTAACTCTCCGTTTGCGTTAAGCATTAAAAGAGAAGTACGGGAAACGTAAATACACGCTCGTCCTTTCAATTTATTGACACGCACGAGGAAGTCCTCTTTCTGCAGAGCGTTCCGATCGAAAATAGATTTCGAAAGCGAGGAAACCCGACGGATCTTAGTCTTTACAAATGAAACAAGAAAAACGACCGACGTTTCGCTACACATCGGAAACCCTACTAATGAGATCCCATCGTAATTTAACATTTTTCTTGTCTACTTAGACGTCGGAACAGCCGGCTGGTGCTGCCCCGTCATCCCCAGTCTTGGTTGCGAGGAAGCAAGTAACTCTTTGTAGTAAGCGCTGAATTCCGGCGGTAAAAACGTCGTGGCAGCCGTGGGCGGAATCGGCGGCGGGAATAAACCGTTGTAGAACGCGGAATAGTACATCGGGTCTAGTATCGGTAGGAACTTGCCGGGCGTGTTTGGCAGTTGCTGTATGAAGGCTGGATTGTTCTGTTGGATAACGGGCACGTAACCGGAGGGTATATTCGGTACGCTGTGCCGCCTTCCAGCCTCGGTTTGCCTCGGTTCCTGTTGTTGTTGATGTTGATGCTGCTGCTGCTGCTGTTGCTGTTGGTGCTGCGTGATCAACGATTTGTCACCTTCGCTGATCCGACGTTGCTGCTGATGGTGATGGTGGTGTTGATGATGATGTTGCTGCTGCTGCTGCTGCTGCTGTTGCTGCTGATGATGAAGGTGTTGCTGTTGGTGCTGCGTGATCAACGATTTGTCACCTTCGCTGATCCGACGTTGCTGCTGATGGTGATGGTGGTGTTGATGATGATGTTGCTGCTGCTGCTGCTGCTGCTGCTGTTGCTGCTGATGATGAAGGTGTTGCTGTTGATGATGATGATGTTGATGATGCAAATGGTGGTGCGGGTGATGCTGATGTTGTTGATGTTGTTCCTTGCCGCCTGTTTCCATATTTTTTCTCCTATCAATCGTATTCTGATGCTGCATCGCCGCCATTCTAGGGTGACTACCGCTATTCAGGTGATTCAAGTTAGGTACATTCGGTATAACAGGGTGACTACTCGGCTTCCTGGGTGTGTACGGTGATATCGGTTCACTCCTCGTCGGGTACTTGCCGTTCAGGTGCTGCCTTCTCTGCACGGGCATCGCCGTGTTGTTTCTAGACGGACTCGGTGCGCGAACATGCGTCGGCGCGTTCACGTGATTGTTCTTTTGTTTAGGGTTCACGATAGTTATCTCCAGGTTGTTCGACGCCATGGTCCGGCTGTCGATCACGTTTTGGTAACTGGGGAACGCGCTACGCTTTGAACAATCCGTCGGCTTTTCTTTGATCGCAGACGAGTTCCTCATCTCGAGGTTCAATGGATTAGGCCTCGGCACTACAGGTACTTTCACTATTTCTAGGCTCGGTCGCGGGAACACGGGCTTCTCGTTAGGTTTTTGCGTCAAGTCGAGTACGCCACCGTATACGGGATCGTTATTGTTATTATGTATATGATGGTGCGGTTGCAAACGGTGCAACGTGGGACGACTGGAAGGGACGGGAACCTCTTTCGGATCGCCGTAAACCATTTTTTCGTTGTGTGCGAATATCGATCTCGACTGCGTCACTTTGGGCGGAAGTATCCTACCGTTCGGTACAGTTGGCGGTACGAAACGGTGATTCGGTTGATGGACGACCGACGACGCGGGCGGTGGTACGTTCACGTTCGCATACAGTTTCAATAACGCGGTGTTGTTCGACGTGCCGAGGTTTATAACGCGACTGTTCACCACGTTGTTGTTGTTCACTGCGATATTGTTATTATTGTTATGATGCGCCGGCGGCTGCTTCGTCGTCGTCGGCGTCGTCTGTAACCGAGCTTGATGATGAGGATGCTGATGCTCTTGCGGCGACGATAGCATGTGCCCGATGTCCGGTGTCACGGTGACCGAAATCAACTTGGGAATGGAGTTTGGCGTGTCCGGGAGGGGATACGACACCGGCGGCTTCTCTTCGGATTTCATGGTCGCCGGTGCAGGAGGTGCTTGGATCACGGTGGGCCGCGTGTCCAAGTCGACGGCAGTGACTTCGAGGCCGCCCTCGCGAAGGATCTCGAGCTTCCGCTTTTTGAAGCTGGGAATGATTATCTTATCCCTGCTGGTATCGCTCTCCGCCTCGAGGTCGATCACCTCCGGCGACCTAGGAGGTACGATCGTCTTCTCTGCGAAGATCGATTTCTCACCGAATAGCGGGATGTTCTCTTTGCCCTGTGCCAGTAGGGATGTTTGCTTCGGGTCAAGTTTGATCTCCTTCATATCTTTCTCCGGCGGCGGCGTCAACGTAACGACCGTCGGCGCGTTCGTTGCCACTGTGGTCACAGGCAGACCCGGCGGCGAACACGGCGGTGGTACCTGTTGCGATATCAGAGGGCTGTTCAGTTGCCTCTCCAACACGCTTTGGCTCCCGTTGGTACCGTTCGTGGGTGTGGTGGAGGGTGTACTACTCGGCGTTGAAATTGACGTATTAGAAGAAGGTGGTGGGCTTGGCAGTTGGCTAGTTTGTTGGCTGGGCGATGGCGTACTATTGGCGATCATAGTGTTTAACGACTTCAGCCGTTCTGGCTTCACTCGTACGCTGCGCAAGGACGATGTCTTACCAGTCTCCGTTTTCGGCTTTTCGCTCGAAAGGAACGGCTGCAAAAGGCAAACATGTATAAGTAAATCATGCGAGAAAGTATTGTAGTTGACGATTTTTTTATTTGACTCACAGCTGTAGACATAATTGATGGAAGGGGTGGGCTTGTTGCAGTAAGATTTATATCTACAGGTGGAGGTGTTTCCGATGGGTATGGTTCGCTTGGTTCTTGTTTGATATCCTCTGACTCTTCCAACGTGCTGCTACTCTTCGTTCGTCTTCCATGCGTCAACCTAACTTTTGCTTCCTCGCCCTTCTGATACCTCTCGTAAGGTAACAGCAACCTATTCACGTGGATCGTAACATTAGTCATTGATGTCTTTGGAAACAAGTCCCCTCAATGTTTGTTTATACACCTTACCTTTCATAATGTCGGCGCGTAATAGTTGCTGCGCTAGTAGATCCCGTGTTACCTCCTATGTCATCATATATGTTCTTCCACAGCCGACCAGCGCTCACAGAATCGTAGCCTCCGAGCATTTGAACTTTTGTATAAAAGAGGAAGAGATCAACTGTAAGTAAAAGATTCTCGTTAGCTGTGGACTATCGGTTTACCAACGGTATATTGCGTGTCCAATGCAAATACGTATAAATAAACTAATATGCATATCACGAACGCTACAAGTGGACATACAACGTACGCGTCGTAGACCTTCGATATTAATCGCAAGGATAAAAGCGTGGCTTGTCAAAAGGAAACACTGCTGTAGATCAGCCTTGGACAGTACCAATCGCTGTCCTAATTTAACCGAAATACGCGCGGGTCAATTGTTTCTACGTGGATATTATGAGAAGGCCAATTGTTAAAAAAAAAACGTGTCACACAGAGATACTGACTCTGCTTGTAGCCCAGCAGTGGCATCTTTCCGACAGGCGTACCCCGGGAGTTCATGAACGTCTGGACGTCCGTGAGGAACTTCTTTTCCTCGACGGTGGTCTTCCGCTCGCTACGTCGCACCACAGACGAGGGTGGTCTGCCGACGCTCGGTATGATCACGTTCAAACTCGCCGGCATGCTTTTCGACGTCGACGCAACGGAGGCCTCGCTCTCATTGCTCGATTCACCCGGCGAAGCACTGCGCTTTTTGCGTTTCCTCCTCGGCCTGCCCTTCAATTTTGGCGCTGAAAAAAATAACAGATCGCATCTTCAATTTCGTTCTCAAATAATGCAGGGTATCAATTAAAATAAACAGAATAGTCGGTTATTCAGCTGGCGAACTTATTAATACGAATCAAATAAAACGACAAAACGCGCGAATTTCGTATCCTTATTAAAAAATTAATTTACTCATTCTCCACTTCAATGGGTTTCACGGGAACAATTTAGAATAATTACCCTAATTGAATGGTGTACAATAATATAACGTCACAAATTGAATTCAAGCAAAACAAGAAGTAGATAATGAACATAAAAATTCACATCATCGTTAGCTGTTGTTATACTAGTGATATAACAGACGGAACATAGCGTTTTAGCAATCATCAATTAATAATTAATTACGAAATATAATGGCAATTTGCGTATTATTGTAAATATACATATGCATGCACGTATGCATCTATGTACATATGCACATTCATGATCATTTTAAACCGTTGCGTCTAGAAATGTGACTACCGGCACCAGCTGATTAAATTTAACGTAACTGAACAGAACAGAACTAAATAGAACAAATACTGCTGATACTTGGCAACAATTTAACATGACATCTTCATATATTAAGTTTTATGTGACATATGTTGTATCCAACAAATGCAGTTTGTTCCACAGCTTACAAAGATGTGCACGACACGTGTTACATCATATCGTTTGGGAAATGATTAACTGAATTCTCACCGATACAATTAAAATACTCACAAGTTATTTCAAAATACACAATTTGCCCGCGGCTTATTCTCATCACAATAGACATCGCGTTTTCTTAATGCACAAACCGAAGGAACGAATTAATCTGTATGCCTGTATACACGACTCGCAAGTCAGTTGTGTCATGCGCTTCACTGCTAATACCTCCAGCAACTACCACGTGCTCTAACACGATTTTCGAGAACAAATTCGCCACACATGCTAAATCGCATCACCGGTTGTCATAGCTACAGTTCCCATGTATCTTTCCGACAGCGTGGAGCTGTTTGGGTAACCGAACACCGATTCGCCGGGACCTTATTATGTTTCGTTAGCCCAGCCAGTGGTGTTATATTGTTTTTGACGTACCTCTCTTTCTCTCTTTCTCTTTTTGGACGCGTGATATCTTTGATCTTCCTTGGTAAACGATTTCTTTTATAAAACGCGCAATATTTAAATCCTCCCATGAACTGAATATTCAATGCAATGCTATTTGCATCTACTTTAAATCTTCATCAGTGTTTTTAATTTCTCATTTCAGTTAATCAGTTGAATCAATTGAACGATCCCTTTCTTAGGAATAAAAATCTGCCTGTTTTAAGAATAAAATTCCACTGCCAAACTTTGTATTCTCTTCATTTTCAACAGGCTTAAGAACTTAAATCCTTTAATAACTCGCGGTAGCATAGAATAAGTTAAGTTTCAACTATGAGACGAAAGCTTACCTAGGTGATTGCAGAGGAGCTCGTGAGTTTCGAGGTCCGGGTAGTCGAAAGTGTCTCTGCAGAAGAGGATCCTGGTGCCGGGCGTCGCGGTGAAACCTCCAAGGGCAGCTGCTATGGACGAGCAGAGCCAGGACGGTTCGGCGCCCTCAAGCCTGCGTAACAGGGCGCGATACCGACAGTACCTGGGGTACGAGAGGACCACGACTTTCGTCTGCCCGTACTCGGCTTTCCTCGTGCAGTGATTGATCTCGAATTCCTTCTGTTGTTTCTCAACATCCGAGAAATCGATGCCGGGGTCGGTCAGCACCTGCGGTTGGGGCATTTCGTACCTCAACGGGCTGGTCTCCGGGGAGGACGTCGGGGTCGGTGGGTACGATACTTCCCGGCCCCACGACCATTCCAGCGTTGGTGATAACCACGTGACGAGGTCATGAACGCGAACCACAACTTTCTCCGATATCGTCAGCACCTCGTCCTGCAATTAAAAAAGGATTCTCTTCAATTTCACGTTTCATTATTATGATTATTAAAAAATATTAGTTAGTGCTATTCATTTTATGAACTTTCTCATCTACATTAGAGAAGAGTAGAGAGTAGTGGGAGGATAACTTTCATCAAAGGGTAAATTCTGCAAAATATTCATTTAATTATAAGGTCTTTTATAAGGGAGAAAAAATCGTAGATGATGAAAAAAGTACGACAACTTTTAACAAAGTTATAAAACATTGTTCAAGGGTATTTACTGCTGATAAAAAATAATTGTTGACTCTTTATGAGACGCGGGATTTACTACCCAGGCTATTGTTCTATCATTTATATATGTATAAACGACCTATTTTCGCCGGCAGTAAACCTTCTCAAATTTGCCTTAATAGACTCACTAAATATGTATTTCCGAGCAACTTTCTTCAACGTTGCCATATCTTTTCGAACTAGGCTAAGAACTTTTCCACGTGTTCCAACTTTAATATGCGCAATCGTTTTCTTTATGATAGAACTTTCTTTTGTGTCGCAAATAGTATCACTATACTAAATTAGCTTATGCCTCCACCTCTAAAGCATATGCGAACAATCCACACACTAAGTGAATCGATCTTAACGAAAGAAATTGAATAAAACTTTTCGAGTTTTCCCATTTCATTATTTGAATTTCCGGTATGTATATATCATATTATACATATATAATTTGACCCCGAAGCCACCTCCTCTACAAACGCACGTAATATTATATATGTAAATCTGCGTGTCGAGAGCACAGCTAAAATACCTATGTATCTCGTTACGTAATATACATAATCTAGAGGCAACGCAGTTCGCGGTTTATGTTGTACCTCAAGTGCATCGTTATCTACTCTGACCGGACGATAATTTAATTGTCCGTTGATGCCGGCGGCGACGTCATTTTCGCAAAGTTTGACCCACCTCATGGATATCCGCTGATTCGTCGGATTTCATTCGACCTGAACACCTCTGCTACGATTTTACTGTCCATTAGAGTGATTGGTATTTAAACAGCAAAATAATGAAAAGGAAGTCGTAAATCCGTAAACTAATTTTCGACTTAACGTCGGAGATAACGCGCACGCGATAGCAGGAATATAAAATGTAATTTGTTCATCTCACGTATCTTCGCGATGACTCGTAAACCACACGTCAATGTGAAATTAATTGTAGCAACGGGAAAACAATAATTGCGCGAACGTAGCTTTCTATCGTAACTTCGTACAAACTCAAAATCAAGTCAGACCGAGTAACTGTTTAATTAATGTAACCAGAGTAATAAGATCGCAACGAATTGATTAGCTTCCTCGAAAGCTGCGAGAACATCATTCCCATTGTTACTCGATGCACGGATTTCTCTCTCGGTCACGTACGTCGCTGCCCGTTCCCTCTCATTGTCTGAGAATCTTGTCTACTTTTCCAGCGCACCGGTCCATTTCCCTGCCCGAGCTTCCGCTTGTGTCTCTCCGTGTCCCACCCACACCCCGAATCACGACTCTGAAAACAAACGCTTCCGTCTTAATCGCGAGGACACACGAAAAACGAATCGTGCGATCAAAGGGTATCGCGCGTGCCACAAAGAAGAATCCTCTCTTCCTTTCTTCGTTCGTCCGGCTGGCCGTTCTCCGTGTGTATTTATCGTAGTGATTTCCTAAAAGGCTTTCTTTCCACCACGTTCTATCGCCTGTCCGACCACCAGTGGCTCTTCCTCTCGCTCCTTCCCGATACTATCGATTTCACGCCGGGTTTTTAATTAAATCCCGGATGGAGTTATTTCTCTGCGGTCCCTCACATTTTCTGCCCGTCGCAGGAATCACGTCCGCTTATGTGTACGTATTACATTTCGGCGGCACTGTTGTTCCGGCGGGGTGCCCGGGGAGTAAACCGCGGCAACTTCGGTAATCACGTTAAAGCCGGCAGTGAAACTGATGGCCGTAGTTCAAACTCGCAACTCGACTCTATTTAAATATTTAAACGTAGTTTTAAACTTGCGCCCCGCCACTGTTTCTCGGCTTTGAAGTTCCTCGAAATCTGTAATCTCGCCTACTTTTCAATCGTCCCGGGGCGCGAGCACTTAAGGCGAACGCAATTAGCTTTCTCAATTTTTTATCGAACCGTCGATCAAGGGAACTTTCGATCATAGATGTAATTTAATCACGGTGGCGATCCGAGAGTTGATCTTTTTTCGCTAAATGTTGAAAGTCGATGATTTACAGGCTCGCATATGTACAAGTAAACTCTGTTTGTCTACGGTCTATGTAAATTTTTAATGAAACCAGCTCGTAAAATCGGTTGAAGTTACGTTTTATTAATGGCCGAATGGGTATTCAATAAATCCCGATATAGGGCGCGCATATTTCAAACAACCTCTTCTATGCACTCGAGAAATTCAATTTAACAGACCCGCGGACGCACTGTTTGAGGTGCAAACTTTCCGGCAAAGAAAGCGCTGCCGAGGAAATTACCTACATCTCAAAGTTTACCGTATCCGTAAAACGTTAAACATCTACTTAATATTAGTTTCCTGCCGTGCTTTTTTATTCGTCAACAAAAAAAAAGTTCGGGAAACACTGTTCCTCCGGAGAACTATTGTGAACCATTACAATTCTCTTTTAAGGATGTATTGGCTATAAAGTCAATCCCAAAAGTTTATGCACTTTACAAATGCATTTTTTAAAAAGAAATCAGACGTCGGAAGAACATTGTTAATAATAAACAACAAAAAAAAATTTTCGATTTTTCCGAGATTTTTCCAAGGGGTACCCCTTCAATTTCTTCCAAATTTTCGTTTTTGGCCAATAATTCCCAAACCGTTGGATATACGGAAAAATTGCGTATGACCTTTCTTGTAGAGGACGACGAGATGTACAATTTCCATGTAAAAATTTTTCGCTAGCGTCTATAGTTAACGACTAATTTGCAAAAAACTGTTTTTTCGTTTTTCGTCAATAACTCGTTAAATATTAATGCTAGCGAAAAAATTTTATACAGAAATTGTAAATCTCGTCGTCCTCTACAAGAAAGGTCCTATACAATTTTCCCGTAGATTCAACGGTTTAGGAGTAATTAAGGAAAAACGAATTTTTTTGCCAAAAGTTCGCCGTTTCGACGCTGGGATGGTCGGATTTTGTCAACATCAATAAAATGCCAAATAATCATACTTAACTCGTTAAATACTTGAGTTAGAAGAAAAATGTTTAGGAAATGCGTTTTTCTAAAGTACATAAACTTTTGGAATTGACTGTATAGCCAATACAGCCTTAAGCGATAGTAGAACGAACAAACGAGAATTACATTTTAATACGAGCGACGAATTGGGAGTCGAACAAAGTCGGAGAACGACGGAGTGCAACAGCTTTAAGCCATTTATTGCACCTCTAAAATCTGGCTAACTTCCGTGCGTTCGCTCATTCTCTAATTCAGGGCATAACCCCTTGACTGCACATATACGAGATGTGTATCTAGGAGACGTAGTCAGTCTGGAGTCTGGAGATTGGTGGGTGAGAGACAACGCGATAGGCACGGATTAAAGGGGTCAGGGGTAAAGAGGCGAGGGGGCTGATGGGCGGCGAGCGCACGTGTGTAAGGGCAACAGCGTGCCAAAAGGTAGCGCAGTGTTGGCGCAGACACAAGCGCCGATCTAACCAAACACATGACACAGACAGTATGCAATACGGAATCGTGTGGAAATGTATTCCCGACGTTGCTATGGGGATTCGGTCTGCTATCCTAAATGCACCGATAACCTATCAATTGACCGACGCCGGACGACTCGGCAAAGTATAACGGGCGATAATGCTCTGCCGTAAATACGGCATTACTCCTGGGTACTCTTACCTCTAATAATCTCATTCCACTGATCAATGATAAAGATGAAATTACCATTTGTTATGAAATCAGTACAGGCGTAATTAATGAATTGAATGAATTAATATCTATTTATCTTCGTATGTCCAGCTGTGATAAAATATTTCTACAGATCTTTTTATATTAATCGACGATAAAACGTTCCGTTGAGAAATTCACCTGTTATCCACAAATGGAAAAATTATACGATCTTATCTAGTGGCGTTCGTTGTACGAAACGGAATTGGCCTCCTTCCGCGATTTCGTGTCTCCGAGCGGCCATTAAACAGTGGCACGGATGGATTAAGTCGACTCCTGGCCGGGTGGTTAACAACCAATATCAAAGGATGGGAACGGAAAGGGTTCGCAGTTAACTGCTAAACCAGCGGAAAGATAGGGTAAAGACGAGCCGGGGAATGTTTTATGGCAGCGGTCCAAGCGATCTTTGTGACTCGACAGAGAATACTAAAAGCCATTAATAAAATTATTTTTTGTAGATATGAAGAAGCTTTCGACTTTGCATAATTTTAATTTATACTCGACTGATTAAAAAACCAATGCTAAGCGCATTTTACTCAAGTGCATGCACACTTTGCACGGGACGAACATTACAATTATTATTGTACCCGATTATCGCGGCTACGCAGACTTTACCATTTCATAAATTATTCGCGAGCTCCGAATTCAATTAAATTTTACAGGAAAAGTCACCCGGAACCAGACACGCTTGTCCGGCGCAGAGTTTTGATTAATTCGACCTGACGAAAAATAATAAATAACCCTTGAAATTGTTTTACCAGAGACGTATTAATATCGCCGGCGCGACAGTGGGCTCGAATCCGATCAATAATGTATGATTTTGTTTGTTTCGAGATAGAGAGAGCATCATGGAAAATGCGGGCGCGCGCGCGCATTTCGTTTTTAACAGCGATACTGGGGCGCGAGGGACCCTTAATGCTCTGGTTCGTGTAACTGTGACGCGGCTATATACTTCGCCGGCATCCATTTACCCCGGGACGAAAATTTATTGCATTAAACGTAATAAACGACTTGTATATACCCGAGCGATATTATTATCGTACCTGGCGAAACTTTCTATCTATCTGGGTAATCTCATCTCTGTGCTAC